GACACAGGACAGAGCGGAGTTTAGGGCTGTTGTACATAGGGTCGCTATGAGTCGCAGGCGACTCGACGGCACATAACAACAACAACAACAACAACAATGTACAATAGCTCTCAATCTTGCCCTCTCCTGAGCCAGCCTTTCTAAGTCCTAAACATCTACTCCCATTGCCCTAGTTAATGTGTCAATTCATCTCATCAGGGGTCTTCTCCTCCTGTGCTGTCCCTCCACACTTCCAGGTATAATTCCTTCAAGCAGTAGTCTCTCCTGGAGATGAGCCCAAAGTATGAGACGAAGCTTCAAAATCCTTGTCTCTAAGGATAAAATTGGTTTCACCCTCTCCAAGACAGACCTATTTGTTCTCCTGGTGATCCATGGAATGTTCAATACTCTTCTCCAGCACCACAACTCAAAGGCAGCAATTCTTCTGTGTCATCCTTAATAACTGTCTAGCTCTCTGCTGCAAAGCAGTAATTGCAGAGACCATGGCCTGGATCAGGTGCACATAAGTCCCTGGATTAATATCATTACTCTTTAGCATTTTGGAGAGATCTCTGAGAGCACAGAATTCCAAACGGAATTGGTCTCTCAATTTCCTGACTGCTAGTGCCGAGACTGTTGTTGATTGTGGAGTACAGCAAGCAAAATTTGTGAACAACTTTAATCTCTTCTCCATCTATCATGGTGTTGCTAATTGGCCTACTGGTAAGAAACTTTGTCTTCTTGATGTTGAGCTATGTTGAAGACCATAGTCCTTAACTTTCTGCAGCAAATGATTCAGGTTCTCCTCAATTTCAGCAATCAAGGTAGTGTTATTTGCATAATGCAAGTAGTTGTTAAGTTTTCCTCCAATCCTGATACCACCTTCCTCCTCACAGCCTCCTGAATACCGATTGAAAAATGTATTGAGACAGGATGCAGCCCAGACATACTCCTTTCCAATTTTGATTCATGCAGTTTTTTGTTGCTCTACTCTGAGAACTGCTTCTTGGTCCAAGTACAGGTTTCACATGACCACAAACAGGGATTTCCATTCTTCTCAAGTCAGCCACAATTTGTTTTGAGCCACACAGTCAAATTCCTTTGCATAGTCAATGAAGCACAAATAGACATTCCTTCCTCTTGTACTCTTCGCTTTCTGCCAAGGTCCATCTGACATTGGCGGTAATGTCTCTAGTGCTATGGCCTTTTCTAAACCCACCTTGTATTTATGGTAGTTCTCTGTTGATGTTCAGTTCCACTCATGTTTTTATACTCTTCAGCCGGAGTTTGCTAGTGTGTGATATAAGTGATATTATTTGATAATTTCCATACTGTCAGGTCTCCTTTATTTGGAATGTGCACAAATGTGCATCTCTCCCAATTAGTTGGCCAGGTGGTTGTCCTCCAGATTTGTTGGCACAACCTGGTGAATACAAACAAGGCAGTATTTGTTGAAATATGTCAATTGGTATTCAATTAATTCCTTGGGGACTTGTTTTTTGTCATTTTTTTCAGAGCAGCTTGAGCTCACCACTGCCTCTTGATCATATGTTGTTTCATGCTAAGTTCTTCTGTGTCAGCCAATTCTTTTTTTATACTCTGTGTACTCCTTCCGTCTTCTTGTAATGCCTCCTGGATCATTCAGTATTCTGCCCATAGTATTGTTAAGTATTTCAACTGGAGGCTTGAACTTGTTCTTCAGTTCCCTCACCTTAAGAAATGCCAAGTGAATTTAGCCATTTTTATTTTCTAGGAAAACTAAACCAAATCCAAGGCAACCAAAATATGACTTTAAGTCTATCCCACGTGAATTTCAGAACCATCTCAGGAACAGGTTTGAGGCTTTGAACACTAATGA